GCGGAGTGGCCGAAGCACCGCACCTCCGATTTGGAGGCTGGAAACCCTAGTGAGCTCTCTCTCTCTCTCTCTCTCTCTCATGATTTTCAGCAGGTTTTCCTACAAAATGTCTTCTATATTTTTGATAGATTGAAAATATGCAATCAAGAATATAAAAATATTTGTGGTCTTATAAATGTCTTTGAATTTTAAGAAAATTTACAAATTTAAATATAATCTTCTATTGTGAAAATCGCAGAAGTTTTTTTCATGTATTCAAAAAATATTATTAAATTATTTTAAATAATTATATATTTAAGAAATATTCAATGATTGTAAAATTTAAGGGATTTTTAAAAATATCATCTGATTTATTTGAATCAAGATTGTTTTAAAAAAAGTTTTAATAAATTCCAAAATCAGTTTTGAAAATTTAAATTATAAATACAATAAAATGAAAGGTGGAAGGCAAACCGGTGAAAAACTAATAGAAGAAAAACTCAAGCAGAGAAATATATTAATAAGTCGAAATACAAAAAAGACAGTGATTAAAATAATTGAAATTGGGACAAACCAAAAGAGCCAGAACTGAAAACTACCAGAGCTAAATAAAATGTAAAAAATGAATCGTAAGTGAAATTGGATTCAGGGGCAGCCCATGACAGCACCAAGGTTGTGCGATAGCCCAATACCTTGTCGGGCCACAAATAAGGTTTGACGAAATGCTTCCTCACGGTGGCCCAGCCCATGTACGAAATATGCGGGGCGGAGCGCTCCCTGTTTTGTTTTTACGTTTTCGTTTTTATTTTTTTATTTTTTTCTATGTTAAAATAATTCGGGATTACAACAAGGTCTAAAATTTGGAAAAAAAACTGTGAATTGTTAAAAAAAAGTTCTTGAATTCAAAAAATGTTCGCAATTTAAAAGGGATGAGCGTTTTTTGTTTTGATGAAAAACGTTTTATGTTCATTTTTAATATTAAAGAACAATTTTTGGTACTTGATGAACCAATTTTGAGTTCAATGAATATTTTTTGAACTTGACGAATATAATTTGTATTGAAGAAGATTTTTTCTGAAAAATGATGAACAACATTTTCATTCAATGATTTTTTGTAATTTGATGAACACTTTTTCAAAATAGTGAACAAAAAGATGAAAATATTTTTTAGTTTCGACGAACATTTTTAAATTCGATGAACATTATTTCATTGTTGAACATTTTTTTGCCTGATAGATTGTTTTTAAAATTTGATGAAATAAAAAAGTGTTCACGAAATTGAAAAGATAAATCGCAAAGAAAGTAATCAGTTAGTACTAAACAATCATGTCAAACAATCAGTACTAAACAATCATGTCCGCTAGGTTAATATGCTCTCACTTATGCTAAATCAGACGGCTGATTCGGAGGCTGCAAGTGAACGATTAGTCACATGTTTGATCCAGAAACACAAGCTACTGCGCAACTTTTTTTAAAACATCAATTGGCTGACAAACGCAAGTTGCACAAATGAATTAAATACATGAAGGAATTGCCTTGAGGTAAATACACCGGGTGTCGTAGAACTTGCACGTGACGGGCAATTTGGTGCATAACCTTGCAAAATGTGTGTTTTTAGCCTCGAACTTGTTCTCTCGTTCATATAAGGTGCTTTCTACCGTATCCAGCCATATCCCATACGCGCGTGGCGTGCTAACGTGGTGGCGGCCCATTGTCAATGGCTGAGGCGGTGGTTAATCCGCATGCATTATTTTCCAAAGCACCCTTGTATTTAATTTATTTACGTTGAAAATCCTTAAAAAAATTGAATCACAGGTAGGACTGGAACCCACGACCTGCTGAGATTCGCCTCGCATACATAACTATGTGTGCAAAGAAGGGGGGTGCCCCTGTTCGAACTTATGACCTCCTGATAAACTCGCCGCATACGCGGGCGCCAACCGGACACAATGACACTTAGAGTGGTATACAAAATTTATCTTATGTATTCTCTTTCTTTTTTCTGTATAAGAAAACAACTTATATTCTTGATAAACTATTCAAACAAATCAACTAATTGCTTGTTTGAATTCGAATAGTTTTAAATTTGAAAATCTAGGTAAAGTTAAATATTACTGCAGAATGAATATGCATATTTTTTTAACAAATGAATTAATTTTTTGTTTGAAATGGAATAAGTTTAAATTAAAAAATCTGGATAAAACAAAATATAGTGCAGATTGAATGTAAGTAAGTTCTTTTGGACAAATCAATGAATTGTTTTGTTTGAATTTGAGTAATTTTATATTTGAAAATCTAGATAAAATAAAATATAGGTCAGAAATGTATGTAAATTTTTCGGACAAATCAACTATTTGTTTGAATTTTAATAATCTAGATAAAAGAAAATATATCATAATGAATATACATAATTTCTTTCGGGCAAATCATTAGAATTTTGTCTGAATTCAAATAATTTTAAATTCTAAAATCTAGATTGAAAATTGGTCAGAATTAATGGACGTCATTTTTTTGGATAAATTAACTAGTTTTTTGAATTTGAATAATTTAAAATTTAGAAATCTAGATAAAAGAAAATTTAGTGATTGAATGTACGTAAAGTTCTTTCAAAAAAATCAGCCGAAAGTTTGCTTGATTCCAAATTAATAATACGTAAATTTAGTTCAGAACGTGTATTTTTATCCTAAAGGATACCTTGTCTGTCTTAAACACAAGGAAAAGGTGACGAGTGGTTAGAACACTTGCACTGTTGTAGACCGATAGGTGTGACCCAGCAGGTGACTATGTTACATTACCTCCGTTGGAGGGCTTTTGTACAATAGTTATAAAAAACCGAGAGTGTTTGTGCAAAAAAAACATCATGTGCCACATAGGCGATGAATACACCCACGTACAAGAAATGTGACCGTATTTGCACGTCCACACAAGTTTGATAACCAAAAATACACATTTTGCAAGTTTATGCAGCCATGCGTAAGCTCTAAGTCTCCGAGTGTATTTACCTCAATCTACGAGCTGACAGGTTTCATTCCCGGTCAAAAGTTGGACGCCCGTATTACAGAGCACCGAGATGCTCGGACACCATAATTCACACCCGCGTTTCCATTCCTTCCCGGCCACTATTAGGCACCGGTCAGCCGGCCGAAACTTTCGGCTGGTCGTATCTTCCCAGTAGGATTGAAACCAACCCAAACAATCAGATATGAGTATCTGTTCGTCCCCAATCTCCAGTCCCGCGTGGCACACACGTCCCCAACCTCCAATCATGCATCGCGCGCAGGGGGACAGAGCATGGAGTCGCCATGGCTGCTGTGTCTCCTTGGTTAGGTGCCAGGTTCATCGGGCGCTGGCGGCCCGGACGACACCACTGCACCACCATCTTGCCATCCCCTGGCCCGCGACAACCTGGATTGCAACTTGTGAGCTCCAGCTTTTGTTTGTCCCAACTGACAGTTCCAGCGCGCCGTTTCCATCGATGCCGGTATCTCCTGTGTCGCCGCCTTCAGCTCACCATCGACCTTGCACCACCATGTCAAGCAAAAAATTCAGCACACAAAAACTTAGGTGTACGCTGGCTATAGAAAAACACATTGTTGGTTCCAGCAAAAACAATCGGTGGCTCCAACAAAACTTACTAGTGTCTCCGTCGCCAATCACCCAGGCGCAAGACGCATAGTCATCGGTTCCAGCATCTTCAAAACATGATGATAGCAAATTCCTCGCAGCTGACCGAAGAGTTGGCGCCGCCGGCCACATAATGTGGTGGCCGCAACACAAAACATTTGCCAGTTCGAGCAAAGACAATCCCCGGTTCCAGAAAATGAGATAATCGGTTAAAGCAAAAACATCGCCGGCGGGTTGCATGGTGTCGTTGTTTGTAGCATCCCTGCCCCCCGGTTCCAGCAAAAAATCCCCGGCTCCAGCAATACATGTCAACGGTTGTAGCCGGCGGGATGCATGTGTCAGCAAACCATGGCGTCGGTTCCAGCAAACTTTGCCACCCGGTGCCAGCATGTTGCAAAGTCGGTTCCACCATGACATTGACACCCTACCCTAGAGCCTGCAGCACGGCCATGGTCGCATGTGCCTACTAGTAGTGTGCATGTTGCTGGCTGCTGCCTACTAGCCCTTCCGTTTGAAAATACTTATCATCAAAATGGATAAAAATGGATGTATGTAGAACTAAAATATATCTAGATACATCTTCTTTTATTCATTTTGATGACAAGTATTTTCGGACCGAGGGAGTAGTAGTATGGGTGCAATAGCAAGATGTGCCTGTCGAAAGACGGAGATGCACGCTTTAGTTCCTTCGGTAGCCAGGCGACGTGCTCGCAGGCGTGGTGGCAGCACGGCTCGACTTTCCACAACTTTACTGTCGCTGAGGTTCATGCAAAAAGAGTATAGCTCCAATCCATCCAAGCACCCCAAGCTTTACTCTCGCTGCGGTTGCTTGACTTGACTAGTAGCTTCATGTTGATTGAGCGAAGGAGTGTGGTATGCCAAACAAACACTAGGAGCGTGTTTGGTTGCCGTAGTCTACAGTAGCTGCATTGCATAGCCTTCTCAGTCTGGCTATGCAAATGCAGTCTCAAATGCACCATCTGCAAGTTGTTTTGCCTGCATGCCCTCTTGCCTGCATGGGCAGAACCACACTGCCTGGTGTTTGGTTGCCTGCGTGTTAGTGCACAAACCCAAGGCATGGTGTTTGGTTGTATGCAATGCCTGGTGTGTGGTAACCTCTTTAGCTAGTTGGTGAGGTTACCAGCACACTTCAGCACAACCATGTACCACACATCATAAGCAGAGCATAGCATAAACAGAGCATCAACTACTTAACAACATAGTTCAGATAACATAGTACCACACATCATAACGATAGTTCAAACAATTCAATGCATAAACCATAAAGCAGACTCGATAGTACTTAGGAAGGAGGTGCCCCGGCCCTAGTCCTTGGCGACAAAGGCTTTGTCGTGCTTCCCACACTTGTTGACCACCTCAACGTCATCGTCGTCGAAGATGATGACCTTGAGGGTGTCAGGAGTGAGGAGGTTGAACGCCACCATGTAGCCGATCTTGATCTGATGAACGGCGGTGTAGGTGGCCCAACCCTGATCCAGAGTCACCCTGTTCATCAGCTTCACTGTCACCCTCCAGGAGCAGCTGGTATTGTTCCTCAGCTTGCACTCCGTCGGCACGACGATGAAGTGCTTGGTGAAGTCTAGGGGCATGGGAATGCACTCAAGCTTCGGCGCAAGGATGACCTTGCAGAAGTGAGTTGGACCACCCTTCTCATGGTAGTGGCCGTAGTTGCAGTGCTTGCTGCTGGTGGGCTCCTCCATGCGCTCATCGTCGCCAACCGTTGGCGTCTTCGGATCTTCCTTGGCAGTGGGCGGCACCACTACCTCGGGCATTGGATGAACCGGCTCCTTTCCCTTGTTGTCAACGGCCGGGAGCACCTCCGTGTCCATCTCATTGCTCTCCTCGACCTGCAAACAATTCATGGAGTCAGGCACAACACATAGTTGGATGGGTGTTCTTCAAGTTGATCCAAGGCTGGGGGCCAATGCCCCCCCCCCCTCCAATGGTAAACCCTGGATGGGTGTTCTTCAAGTACAAAAAAATGGGGTATGTACTTTCTTGATTCAGTTGTTCATCGGATTCAACACAATCTGTAGCTCATTGTATGCTCAAATTTGTGTGAGTGATGGATGTAAGTTTTGGTATTGGGAAGAAGTTACATCGATCTATTGATAGCACAAAATATGATACATGTTCATGTACTCGTTGCCAGAATAGAGACCGGAGATAAGACTAGATGCGAAGTAATATCGAGTTTGTTCGAAGAAGAAAGAAGAGTGCAACCTCGAGAAGACAATAGAGAGAATCAATAATGAAGATATAGAAAAAATATTAATCCAACTAGTGGGAGCACTTATAGAACTTGGATATCTTTTAAGGTGTCTAATTGTGGTTCTTATTTTCTTTGGTTTCATTCTCGTAGAAAAGAGTTGGTGAATTATGTACTCCAATGTATCAAAATGTCGTTCAATGAAATAAAGAAGCAATGAAATTGTTTTGGTGCCCGAAAATGAAATGCAAATGTTACTCAGTTATATATAGGGGATCATCTAGGTCGGGCCAAAAGTTAGTGGGGGTAAAAACACTCCACTAAGGGTTTATTCCGCCTAATCCTCCTTTATTTTAGGGAATTAGCTTAGAGTTTGCCTAGCACACAAGTTGTCTAGCCTCGCACCCACTCGCCCTCCCCACCTCCCACGGCTCTAATTTTTCGCTCCATCGCACAACCACACTGTTCTGAAAGAAACACTTGAGGGAATACATACGCCCAGTGGATCGGCATACAGAAGAAGAGGCGATCGAGCATGGTCCATGTGGTCATGTATGTACGTACGGCTGAGCTTCACATTCTTCCCGCGTTCTACACCAAGACATCTACGCGCCAAAATCCAAATGGCACTACCAAAAGCAAGCGTTTCCCTTCTTCATTTATATAGTAGTACGAAATCGGGACGGTGCACACCATTGATGGAGAGATAGCAGACAGGCTAGAATACGTCAAGTTTCCTCTTTACTTCTTTTTCCTCCTCGTCCTCCTGAGTGTTCTCTTCAATCTTCTCACGTATGCCATCAAGTACCTTCCACTCAAGCTTAAAGGGACAGCCAGACACTGGCTGAATAGCCTGCCAGTAAACTCTATTGGCAGTTGGGAAAACCTTGAGGATGCATTCCTCGATAACTTCCAAGGTACCTATGTGCGACCACCGGATGCTGATGACTTAAGTCACATTACCCAACAGCCCGGAGAGTCAGCCAGGAAATTCTGGACTCGGTTCCAAACTAAAAAGAACCAAATTGTCGACTGTCCGGACGCCGAGGCCATAGCGGCCTTTAAGCATAATATCCATGACGAGTGGCTTGCCCGACACCTCGGCCAAGAAAAACCGAAGACCATGGCGGCACTCACGACACTAATGACCCGCTTTTGCACGGGTGAGGACAGTTGGCTGGCTTGCAGCAACATCGTGCCAGGAAACCTTGGCACCTCAGATACCCTGACAGTAACGGAAAGCCACGGCGCAACAGACACAAGCATCGAAACAACGACGACAATGCGGAGGATCTGGTAGTCAATGCCGGATTCAGCAACTCCAAATCCGGTCAGCGGAAGAAGACGTTCAAAAAAACAACCCGGGATCGTCCAGTCTGGACCGCATACTCGACCGCTCATGCCAGATTCATGGCACCCCCGATAAACCAGCCAATCACACTAACAGAGATTGCTGGGTGTTCAAACAGGCCGGCAAGATAAATGCCGAGAACAAGGACAAGGGGCTGCATAGCGATGATGACGAGGACCCCGGCGTCCGAACACTGGAGGACAGAAGAAATCCCCCCCCCCATGTCAAAACGGTGAACATGATCTATGCCACTCACATCCCCAAACGAGAGCAAAAGCGTGCACTTAGGGACGTCTATGCGATGGAGCCCGTCGCCCCAAAATTCAACCCATGGTCATCCTGCCCGACCACCTTTGATCGTAGGGACCACCCGACCAGCATCCGTCACGGTGGCTCAGCCGCATTGGTCCTTGACCCAATCATCGACGGATTCCACCTCACGCGAGTCCTCATGGATGGTGGCAGCAGCCTGAACCAGATTTATCAGGACACAGTGCGCAAAATGGGCATTGATCCGTCACGGATCAAATCCACCAAAACCACCTTCAAAGGTGTAATTCCAGGGGTAGAGGCCCGCTGCATGGGCTCAATAACACTGGAAGTGGTCTTCGGATCTCCGGATAACTTTCGAAGCGAGGAGTTAATCTTTGATATCGTCCCTTTCCGTAGTGGCTATCATGCACTACTTGGACGAACTGCGTTCGCTCGTTTCAGTGCGGTACCGCACTATGCATACCTCAAGCTCAAGATGCCAGAACCTCGCGGGGTCATAACAGTCAATGAAAACACAGACCGCTCCCTCCTTACGGAAGAGCATACTGCGGCCCTCGCGGGAGAAGTACAAAGCAGCCTCCTCCGACAAAAAGCCAATCCGGCAACGACATCCCCGAACACTGTCAAGTGAGTTCGGAGTACCCCGCAACAGGACCGCCAGGCACGCCAGGAGCTCGATTAGCAACCCGGCCTCCACCCCTGCCCCACTCAAGCAGCGTTAGTGCCACGCGTACATAACTACGCGCTCAAGATACCATGGGCATAGGTGGAGGCAGGACGACAATGCGGCCAGAGTGCGGTTAAGCCGCCATGAGGCCCGCATACCTTTTTTTCAGGACCCCAGTTTTGGGCAGCCCCTTCAGAGAGATCGGATAACCGAACTCATCATAGAAGGTACACCAAGGAGGCACAGAGGCATCGCACGCAAGGGAATACTCAGGTGGTCTTCTCCAATGATCGTTATACCTGTCCTTACATACACGCATGTAGCCTGCCCTTGGATAGGATATGTTAAATAGTCCTATTTTTTCTGCTTAATGCATCAATTGTACACCTATGTTTTGCCGTATTGTCCAAATAACTTGGAAGTAGTACATAGCGTCAGCTTCTTATTACTATCCTTATATTTTCCGTTGAATATTTATTCAATATTCGCATCCATACACTCTGGTACGGTCAGCTCGCCAGGGGCTTCTTATCAAGCCCCATAAAATGGCAAGAAAAGTCCGAACACTTTCAACAGTGCAGCACCCCGAACTTATAGCATGCATCAGCTCCGAATCATGTCTTGGGTCAATAGTTGGGTTAGCCCGGCTCCCTTGTTTTGGTACCTTACGTTCCGTTATATCGGCTAAGGTACCGCAGGGAGAACTACTGCGATTGTGTCCCGGTTCTTCCAGACGAGCACCTCAGTAGAGAAAGCCGAAAACTGACCGTCATGATGCGGCGAGAGCTGTTCGCTGTTCGCGAGGTAGTAAAATCCCTAAAGATTTTTTCCGCTTAAGGCGAGGAATCGGCCTTTCCCGATTTAGGCGTGTATAATGCCCCAATTTGGCTTTCCGAATACTAGGGGCTTCGCCGAAATTTAAAATTATAGACTTCTATGGCCAAGTGAGAGTTATAAAGCCGAATAGTCCGATTGCCTGGTTCGCTGCGCTAAACACCTCCTTAAAGGACCAATCATTTGGATAAAGAGTGTTTAGGTTTTCCATGAACACCCCAGTACTAGTACAAGGGGGCGGAAGCCGACGACTGGCCTACTTTCAGGTTTTGATAAACGGCCGCAGAGAAGGTAATATTTTAAATGAAACAAAACGTTATATAGCGCAATCAAACTCATCCTCATATTACACAGACGACATGAGTACATTCACTCGAAAATAATGTTCTTAGGACATTCATTCGCCACAAGCCGAGCACCTTTCATAACGCCACTATAATACATCTCGGGGTAGCGATGCTCCTTGCCCTTCGGGGGTTCATCCTTCACGAGCTGCTCAGCATCCAGTTTGCCCCAATGCACCTTCGCGCGGGCAAAGGCCCGTCGGGCACCCTCAATACATACGGACTGCTTGATAACCTCTAGCTGTGGATAGGCATGCACCATCCGCTTCACCAGGCCAAAGTAGCTGCCGGGCAGGGGCTCGCTAGGCCACATCCGGACTATGAGGTCCCTCATGGCCTGTTCGGCCGCATTGTGGAGTTACCAACTGCTTCAGTTGGTCACTCAGAGGCATAGGGTGTTCGGCCCCAGTATATTGGGACCAGAACAGCTTCTCCGTAGAGCTCCCCTCTTTAGCGTGATAGAACTCCGCAGCATCCGAAATGCTGCGTGGCAGATCTACGAATGCTCCTGGAGAGCTCCGGATTCATGTAAGTAAAAGAAATAACTCCTCCACATGCTTGCTTTGCATAAAGAATGCCTTACCCTCCGCTATCTTCTTGGCCGCCTGGATTTCCTGGAGGGCCTTTTTGTTGGGGAACGTAGTAATTTCAAAAAATTTCCTACGCACACGCAAGATCATGTGATGCATAGCAACGAGGGGGAGAGTATTGTCTACGTACCCAACACAGACCGACTGCGGAAGCGATGACACGACGTAGAGGAAGTAGTCGTACGTCTTCACGATCCAACCGATCAAGCACCGAAACCACGGCACCTCCGAGTTCGAGCACACGTTCAGCTCGATGACGATCCCCGGACTCCGATCCAGCAAAGTGTCGGGGAAGAGTTCCGTCAGCACGACGGCGTGGTG